ATGAGTCAAATAAGTGTCTAAAATTTATGTCTTTACATAAAGCCATGAAATAAAACACCAAGAAATAACCTCACCCTGTCCCTATTCCAACTCCTGAGCATGGGGAGAGGTCCCCTTAGGGATCTTTGCAACTCACCCTTCCTTTGATGCCCCTAAACCAGCAAGACAGGAATGAACAAGAACAACATCTTTTAATCTCCTCCAGTGCTTGTGGATTTGCATTATTTAAATATATGAGAAACACCCATAATTGAGTAATTATTCCAGCATTTAAAGAATGCCAAACAATGAACCATTTCTTCTTCAGACCTAATCCAGCCCATTTCCGTTTTCCTCTTAGCACAATGTGTAGAATTACCCAACTTGCCGCTTCCTAGAACACTTGATTGTTTATACAAGGTAGGCAAGCCTTCTCTGGCGATATTTATTTTTCTCATTTTACACTTGGTGATTGTACCCTTCACAGATTTTCCTTTTCTAGATGTTTATTAACTACTGAATGCGTATAGATCCCATTTTGTACTTTCCTTTTTACAAATAAAGCTTATCCTTTAGGGGAGGGCTAAGGAGAGAAGGCAGAATCTAATAGTAAACATCTTCAGACTCTGTCGTTGTTGGAGTTACTCCTTAACCATCATTTTAAGGAAAGTATTCTGCGAGTTAGAGACCAGTGCATTTTAACAGCTTCAGAAAGGGGATTTCCCAGAGGGTCTGGGAGGAGAACAAAAGCATTTGCATCTCTTTCCCCAGAGCCTAAGTGGATTTTTCCTGAACCGCTTTTCCATGTGAAGTCTTGGTGGGAGGATGGAGCACTACAATGTTCATGCTTTTGCTGTTGGCAGGGCTGTGGTTTTAATGTGGAGGAAATAAAGAATGTAGAATTGTGCATTCAGTTAGGACTCAAGACTCCTTCACCCTGAAGTGTTTTGTGTGTGCATGTGATTTTTAGTCCAATATGGAAAGCCCTGCTTGACTCTAAGAAAGGCCTTATTCTCTCTAACAATTCACACACACACACACACACACACACACACACACACACAGAGAGAGAGAGACCGAGAGACAGAGAGACAGAGAGAGAGAGAGAGAGAGAGAGAGAGAGAGAGAGAATTTCCCGATTTATGGCAAAGCTGGGAAGTCAAGAGTCCCTTCATCCCCCCTACCAACTTCTCTTCCTTCCCATCTCCATTCACAAGTCTTTAGGGACGATCAGCAGACGCCTGGGGCTAACATTGCACACAAGTGGAGAAAGACTAATGCTGTAATAAAGAGGTCTTGGTCACCCTAAGTGCTGGCCTCTTCCTCTCTGGTTCAGCCCCTTTTAGGAAGAGAAATGCAATAGCCTCACTTCTATTCTCTCAGGCAGAGAGTGTCCAGTGGCAGTGGGTGGGCATGTGGATTAAGCTTTCTCAGTGAGGGTCTCCAATCTTTCTTTGTCATGCCATGTCACACTCCTTTGGCCTCTATTAATGTGCAACTGACAGCAGGAATGCCTCTAGATGTTATGGTGATTAAATGAGCTCCTATTTGCTAAGTGCTTAGATGACAGTAAGTCTGCAGGAGCCTATCTTAGGTCAGGCTCTTTAGAAAGGGTGCCTGAGATGGGGGTTCTTGAGTGAGCAGCTGGTTGGAGCCATGCTTACCTGGGTAAGGGAGTTGGGACCGGGCAGGGCAGGAGCTGGCAGAGCTGTGATTTCGGGAGAAGTCCAGCCTCAGCCTGATCCCATGGGGAGCTTTGAGGTGTCAAGGGCCTTCGAGTTTGTCCCACCAAGGCAAGGAAACTGCATGGTCAGCTCCTGGGGGTGGGTGTAACCTCTCAGACATCTCTGTTAGTGAAGGATCATCCTCACAATCCTCCACAAGAAGGGAGCCTGCAGTTCTACAAGTAAACAATTTCATGACAGCAGCTCCATGTGCCAAGGGGCAAGAGCTCAGAACTTGGGAATCTGAACACCTGAGCCTCAGTTTCCTCATCTGAGCCATATTTCTTTGGTCTCACAAAGCCTCCCATGAGTCCCCAAATTGAGGCTGGCACTCTGGCTTCATTTGTGGACAAGTCACTATTGTAAGGGCCTATTTCTGTGTTTAGTCCCTGAGGGAGTGCAGGCTGGAGCACAGACTATCCTCTTCTCTGCAGCATCCCCACACCCAGCACAGTGTCTGCGCATGGGAGGTCCACACATATTTGCTGCCTGCCTGAATGGTTAGAGCTCTTTCACCTTGAGCGAAGACTCCTGGGCACTGGCCTCTTTGAGCTCCTAATTGGATGCAGCTTCCCCTACCCCTTGTTCTACTTGATGCTTTTTTCATCTTGCCTTTTCTTCTGAGTCCTTCGATGTGTGGTGTATGTGTTCTCTTTCCACCGTCTCTCTGCAGAAGTCGGTTTCACTCCAATATGCTCCATCCCCATTCAAAGTACCTTCGAGTGATAGATTTATGTCCAGATTTGTGAGATTCTAAAAGGGCCAGGGAGGGTGGAAATGAAGCTTCAGAACGGCCCTGTTGGGTGGTAAGGCAAGAAGGCAGTGGCAGCCCCATTGGCGAGAAACCATGCCAACTGGAAGGGAAGATGTCAGAGCAGGGACACTCAGCACTTGGGCATTCCCTGGCACATGCGACATCACAAAGTATTTGCTTTTTTTATGGTCCCCTCTTTCCCCTGAACACGTAATAATTGTGCATGTTTAACTAAAAGGACTCTTGGGGTGGAATTTCTGACATAGAACATTCAGTTAGGGGTAGATACTTGGGGAGCAAGAAAGTTTCTGTGTTGTAGCAGGAGGAGGGGGAGAAAAGACCTTCCTTGGATATTTTCTTGGACGTTGCTGTACCTTCACATTTTTTTGTTTTTTAGACAGGGTCTCTGTTCTGTTGCCCAGGCTGGAGTGCATTGATACAAACTCGGCTCACTGCAGCCTCGACCTCCCCAACTCAAGTGATCCTCCCAACTCAGTCTCCCAAAGTGTTGGGATTACAGGTGTGAGCCCTTCAGAACATGGCCGTTCTGAAGCTGCATTTCCACCCTCTCTGTGTTGGGATTACAGGTGTGAGTCACTGGACCCAGCCCCACATTCTTCTTCTTCTTTTTTTTGAGTCGGAGTCTGTTGCCCCTGCTCTGTTGCCCAGGCTGGAGTGAAGCGGCAATCTGGCTCACTGCAACCTCCGCCTCCCAGGTTCAAGCGATTCTCCTGCCTCAGCCTCCAGAGTAGCTGGGACTACAGGTGCGCGCCACCATGCCCGGCTAATTTTTGTATTTTTAGTAGAGACGGGGCTTCACCATGCTGGCCACGCTGGGCTGGAACTTATGACCTTGTGATCCGCCCGCCTCGGCCTCCCAAAGTGCTAGAATTACAGGCGTGAGCTACCGCGCCCGGCCCATTCTTTTTTAAAACAACATTTCCCCTCATAAAAGTGATAAAATGGTAACATTTTACAAAAAATTGGAAGACAGACAATGTTTAAAAATCCAGCCAAAGGAATGTGAACTCTTGTGAGCATTTCGGGACATTTTCCTCCAGTCTCTTCCCCTATGTATCTGGATTCTAATCAGGCTCTACCAGATATTTTTGTATCACTGTAACTCTTTAAAAATCTCCCGATACTGTTCTGAATTTCCTGGCATAACGTGCTGCGGCTGTGGAGACCCACAGCCGAAGTAGGTGGGGGGTTTAGAACAAGACACAGCCCTAACTCTGGAGCCTGAGCTCGAGCTCCAGCTGGGAGCCTGTGAAACATTAGTTGCCGTCTATGCTGAAAGCTTCAGGAGTCGGTCGGCTTCCTCCCTAGTAATGGTCTACTTGGGTCTCCGCTCAATCAGATCCCACAAATAGGATGAAGACTCAGGGAAGGTCAAGGAGCTCCCGCCTAATGTGGGGACCCAGGTCAGCCCTTTTGGGGCTGTCCTGGCGGGGACGCGAAGTGGCCACCTGCCCAGCTGCCCGCTTCTAGTGGCGTCCTCCCTGCGCCGCCCGAAAGGACCGGCCACGGGCTCCCGCAGCTCTTCAGCTACCTCGGCCCCGCCTTCAGGGGCTTTTCCCACCTTCGCAGGACCAGACCCGCTGTGTGGGAGACCCAGGGCGCAGCCACCCCGCAAGTGCGAAGAGGGTCTCCCCAGACAGCCAGAGTCCGGGAGCGGGTGAAGGGAGGGGACTGCCCGTTCTCTCGGGAATTGTTTGCGCCCGAGGAGTCACCCCAGGCAGGCCGCGCCCGCAGTCCGGGTCGGGCGTCGTCCTCCCCGCCCACCTTCCTCTCCGCCGGGGCTCGGGGGCGGACTGACGCGGCGGCGCCCATCCTGGCCCCCGTGCGGTTTCCCGAGGCCGGAGGAAGGTGGTGCAGCTGGAGGGAGAAAGGGAGGAGCGTGCGGAGAGGGAGGACGACAGAGTGGGGGGAGCAGGCGGAGGTGTGGGGGTGGGGTGGGGTCGAGGAGCAGAGCGCCGAGGAGGACCCCGAGGGAAACTGGGGGCGGAGCAGTCAGCGACTGGGAGCCGTGGAGGACGCGGGGCCAGGGGAGGCGGATCAGCGGGAGTGGGTGGAGAAGCAGAGGTGGCGGGAGGAGCAGAAGCCTCCGTGGGAGATTCGGGAGGAGCAGCCGGCAGGGGAGGAGCCGCCGGCAGGGTACGAGCCGCGGCGGCTGGGTGAGAACGGGGCGGGGCAGCCGGAGGCGGGGCCTGCTCACGCCCCGCCCCCTCCCGCCCGAGCCGCGCTGAGGAACGAAGATGGCCGGGCGCGCCGCGGGAACGGAGGGGCGGCCGGCAGCGGCGGCAGCGCCGGCTCCTGGGCTGTGACTTCGCGCGCGGCGGCCACCCGGGCTACCCGAACGGAGTGGGCGGCACGGGCAGCGGCTCGCAAGGGCGAGCGGGCGGGCGCCGGTGCACGGGCGCCGGGCGGAGGATGCGCCGGGAGCGGCGGGCGGCTCCCCGCGGCCGCCCCCGCGCCCCGGGCGCCGGGCCTTAGTACTGGCGGAGGAGGCGGCGCGCGCGGGGCGGCCGGGCGGCGGCGGGGCCCGCGCCGTCATGCCTTGGCTGAGCGGAGGTCGGCGGCGACGGCGGGGACAGCCGCGGGAGGCCCCGCGGGAGCCGCCGCCGTCCGCGCAGCCCCAGCGGGAACCGCCGCCGGCGGCGCCCCCTGCCGCGGTCCCCACGCCCCCCGCCCCCTCCGCGCCCCCGCCGCGGGTCCGGGAGAGCGCCCAGCTGCCGCTGCCCGCTGGCTGGGAGGAGGCGCGAGACTACGACGGCCGAGTCTTCTATATTGACCACAACACGCGCCAGACGTCGTGGATCGACCCCCGCGACCGGTAAGCGGGCCGGCTGGGGGCGCCAGACCCGGCGCGGGCGCTACGACCCGGGCCGCCGGCCGGCGCCACCGCGGATGCGCTGGGGACACGCCCCGCCCAGCGCGGGGCCGCCGAGAGCCCCTGGGCCCCGGCAGAGTTCGGAGCGCCTCCATCCCCGGGACCGGGGGACTCCCTGGAGTGCTCCGGTCCTGGCTAAGATCGAGGCGCCCCCATCCCTTGGGCCCAGGGAGAGGATCGGAGACACCAGGGGGCCCTCGGGGCTGGGTGAAGATCTTTGGTTCCCGGGGCCCGGGAGAGGATCCGCCCCCCAATACCCCGACTCCCAGAGCTCTGACCAAGAATGTAGGTGCCCCCGCTCCAGGCCTCGAGTCCTCTGAGCGCCGAGGCCAGCCACCTCCCGGTTCCCCGCTGCTGGGCGGACCCTCTGATTTGGTTCCCTCACGTCACCCGCTGTCCGGCGCCTGGGAACTGGGCGCCTGGAATTTCCTCTCCAAGGGCTGACAGATGGCCCTCTTTTCCTTTCTCTGTGGTAGCCTCGCCCATCCCAGTCCCGGGCGTCTGCTGCCCACTGCCCGGGCTCTGGCTCTGCAGGTGTCCCCAGACCCGCGGTGTCGAGATGAGCTGTCACCTTGGATCACAAACGTGTGCCCCAGCTTTGGGGTGCGGGTTCCTTGTGTGGGGGGCTCAGGCTGGTTTCCATCCAAAACCTAATGCCAGATGGGCCCTTGAGGGATTCCCAACCCTTTTGGAGTTGGAGAAGTCTGTTCCCAAACTCTTGGTTGCTCTTTAGCGCCTTGAAACTCGTGAGTTAAAACTCTGTTTGAAATAGCCTTCTGTACTGCAGCCAGAATGCAATATGATTAGTCCCATATGCTTTTGGAATAAACGAAAAACAAGAGTTGTATTTTAAGTTTCCTTTTTGTGCATGGGGTACAAAGCTGTCTTATTCACGTATAAAAACACAATCAAGTAAAAACTGATTCTTCTGAAAGCACTACCAGATCTCATTTAATTAATTTCATGTAATGAAGCTTTTCCTTAACTTTTTGCTTGATCGTCTACTGGTTTCGATTGTTCATCTGCTTTTACAGATGCGTATTTTGTGTGGAATTGGGAATTCTGTGGACACCAAGTGTTTCTACAGGTTTTCTGATGTCTTGCCCTTTCTAGAGCAACTCTCCTCCCAGGGCCTGAGTGCCAAAAAGGAAACACCACAGGCTTCCCAGTGATTTGAAGACTTGCAAAGGCCCAGTGTGGTGACATTGTGCCTACTTCCTCCTACCTGCACAGGGAAGGCAGCCCGCATGGCACTGGCGTTTGAAAATAAACTTTTGAGGAGAGAAGCTGCTGAATTGTTTGAAGATTTCTGAGTTCAAGCAGGGAAAAACAAAAGAAAGCAAAACAAAAAGGTCGTGGTTCCCTAACATTCTCACTGAATGTTGCAGACCTCTGGCCTATATCAATCCTAGTACAATTTTATGGGTTTAAAAGATGCTTACTTATTTTGAAAATCAGGTGAGATCATGTTATAATTTTAACCAAAGGCTAGAGCCCCAGCTGTTTGATCCAGCCTTGGATGGTTCTGGAATTGGTAGAACTGCTTGGAATGCAGTGCTGTTTTATACCGTATGTATGTTAAAAGCCTAAACAACTGGAAAATGAACCAATTAAAAATAGTGTTTTGCTTAGAAAAGGCTAAGGCTCACTTTCTGAGGGTAATATAAAACAGTTGTGGTTATATTGGAGTGGAGATTCATGCTGAAAGGTATCAGTGTGAGGATTTTTCTTTTAATGGTACAACCTGTGACAAACGTGAGCGGACCATACAGAAATCAGCTTGGAGAATCTTGTTTTCCATGTATTTCAGACGCATTTCCTATATTCCTTTTTTCCAGAAATCAATTTGTTACTGAATAACGTTTTTCACTTTTTTCAGACAATCACTTACGTTATAGGTTTTTAAAAAGTCTCCATTCTAATGCTAAAAGTGTCAATTGAGTGAACAAAAGTGGATATTTTACCTTTTTTTTGTAAAGTAAAAACATGTGTGTACTTTTATGAGATGTTTTTATAGTGAGTAAAAATTCAGCAGGGGACAGCTTGAACTTCAGCTCCCATAATACCTTGCCCGAAATATGTATGGAATGTTCAGCAAGCCACAAACATTTAAGTGGAGTCGGCTGAAGGCTGTAATAGTCATTCTTCTTCCTCTTTCAAAACAGAACCTGGCCGAGTTTTATAGGTGGCGGGTTATCCTTTAAAGTTGTAATTAACTTTTATTATATGGGAAGAACTGTATGTCAGAGGGCAGTATTTTCTCTATGAGCATCTGACAGTTAAAACCCTTTTTGAGTCGCATTTGAGTCACACAATTGGAAAATGGTATTCAAGAAATATGAGGACTTTCACCAAACAGATTCTACATAGAGATCCAACAGGAGAAAAGCAAATAAATAATAGCTTTTTATTCTTTTTAAGAAAATAGAATTATGGTGGAATAAATGAATGTAGTAGGTTAAGTGAAAATTGTTGTTGACTTTAAACATCATTTCATGTAAACTTTAGTAAAAACTGTATAGCATAAAATATGGTCCAACGATTGTAAACAAAATCTCAAGTTTTGTAGTAATTCCGTTCAGTGTTGTGTTTAACATTTGATATTGCCAGCTCAGAGCATGTAGGTGAAATTATTGGGACTCTGTTTTTAAAGTTACAACAAAGAAGCTACAAGCCTAAGGAGAAATCTTTACGGATGTGGCTACAGATATATATACATCTCAATATTTTAAAAAACTAATTTATTAGTTTGATTATAAGCCTACCCTTGGTTGGGCGTGGTGGCTCACGCCTGTAATCCCAGCACTCTCGGAGGCCGAGGTGGGAGGATCACTTGAGATCAGTTCAAGACCAGCCTGGCCAACATGGTGAAACCCCGTCTCTACTAAAAATACAAAAACTAGCCAGGTGTAGTGGTGTGCGCCTGTAGTCTCAGCTACTTGGGAGGCTGAGGCAGGAGAATGGCTTGAGCTTGGGAGGCAGAGGTTGCAGTGTGCTGAGATGCCTCTGCACTTCAGCCTGGGTGACAGGGTGAGACTCTGTTTCAAAAAACAAACAAAACCTACATGCGATTTAAATTATTTCTATAGATTGATACTGTGCATATAATTTTCATAGTTTACTGGGAATCACATCCTAAAACTTTGTTAAAAACTACAAAGTTAGGCCAGGCGTTCTGGTACATGCCTGTGGTCTTAGCACTTTGGGAGGCCCAGGTGGCAAGATTGCTTGAGTCCAGGAGTTCAAAACCAACCTTTGCAACATAGGGAGACTCTGTCTCTACAAACAAATAAAATAGTTACCTGGGTGGAGTAGCATGTGCCTATATTCCCGGCTACTCAGGAGGCTGAAGTGGGAGGATTGCTTGAGCTGGGGAAATCCAGGCTGCAGTGAGCCATGATCGTGCCACTGCACTCTAGCCTGGGCAACAGAGTGACACCTTGTCTCAAAAAACAAACAAAAAACCCACACTAAAAAAACAAACTACAAAGTTAACTTATTTCTATGGCTGGCAATTTTCTTGCATGAATCTTGTGTGGTTTACATTAGTGGCACACTAACATATTAATTGAATATATTAACTCAGAGTACCTTGACCACCTTATGAAAAGTTATTTACCATTTGGGCAGAAAATATGGGAAGAACATTTTTGCCTCCTTTGAAAAGATTCACTATCTCTGACAGTTGTGTTTACATGTGTGTCCTGCAGGGTTGTTTGGGAATTATCCTATAGATGGACTGAGTGGTTGAAACCTCATGTTCCATTTCCTGTAGCTCAAGTGGACTTGCACAGTACTGGAAATGCCAGCTGTGGGCAGTTTAAGTATAATGGACAATATCACATTTGAGATCAAAGTGTAAATAATCATGCGGATGGCGGAAGAGCAAGATCATGTCATGGCATAAGCTCTTGGGGACCCATTTGCTCACCAGATGGGATTTGACCTATGCTACATGGAAGAATTCTGTGGTATCTTAAAAGTCCTCTGAACGGGCTTTTGCTTTAAGGGGAAAACAATCCATGGCTCTGGAATTTGCTAGGTTGAATCCCCATTTAACAGCCAAATAACATCATTGCTACCTTCTTGGAACCTTTATTTAGTTATTCAGTATTAACTAATAGGAGGTTGACTATATTTATCCCACGGAGTCTATTTCTGGATTATATAAACTGTCCTGGTTGAGCTTTCTGATAAACAGGTAATGGTTTCTCCCTTTTTCTTTTTTTTTTTTAAAGGTTATAGATAGTGTTTGTATGAACATGGGGAGCATCTGTTTTTAAGGCTGTAAGGGCTCAGTCCCTGAAAGAAGTGTCTCTTGCTTCCATTAAGATCACCAACCCTCATTTTTTGGTCTAATATCTTTCTTTTCCTTTCCTTCCTTTTTTTTTGGAAAGAAAAGTGAGAGGAAAAGTAATAAAGTAATTCATTTCCAAAAATAGCTCCCAGATATTTGGAAATCTCCAAGTTTCCTTCTCTTTCCTTTCACTCTGATTTGGGAAGTGGAAATAACGCATATCACCATCTCTGGTTACGTTCTACTTCAGGAGCCCATGGGTCAGCGACATGTTCATGGTCATCTGGTGGGCCTACGGTAGGCTTCTTGACATCCGGCCCAGATCCTTTTGCTAATGGTGTCTGTCTTTCCCATAAATTTGATAAAGCGAATCTGATGGAATAAAAGCAAAGTTAAATTCCACTGAATTCAGTTATCCCCATTTAAATCTAATAAAGTGAAGCAATATTTATGGAGATTCTTGGCCTTCTCTATGCAGGGACAGTATGTGGAGACCAAGCTGGTCTGAGAGGTGGCAGGCAGACACATGAAATGAAGACAACAGTGGTTGCAAGGCATCCTAGGACTGATTCAATTTCTTGGATAATAATCACTTCCAAGAAAAGGAGGGCTCACTTGAGCCTGGGGTTGTCTTTGTCTTTGCACA